CAGCAACCTCGACGATGTCCCCTTTTGGGGCATCTACTAACCAATAGCAGGATACCGGCTGGATCAAAGGTGCCTGCTAACTCATCTCTTGCTCTCAGCGGAGATTGAATAAATTTTGTCATTTGGAAGGTGTGACAGACGATGGAATGTGTGAGGAGCGCATTTACTGGGTCCAATATGGAGGAATCTTCTGGTATTCGGAGTTGTTTTGATCTTTGTGATTTTTCGTTCTTGTTCAATCAGCTGCACTTTTGGTAGCAATTCACGAGGTTGGAACGAGTTAGGCTGTAGGAAAAGTTACAGGGAACCCTGCCGGATCCGCCGGTCCTTGACCCAATGTGGAAAACATAGCTTTAGCTTATGTAAGGATTCTTGAGAAATCCCTCAGGCAGGATTTATGGGTTCCTTATTTAATCCCACTAGTCTTTATTGCTTAGCAAGGGCACCTATGTAGTTTCCATTTCCGAGACTGATATCTTCACGCTTTGTTTTCTGTCTTTAGGAATAGTTACATTATTCTAATTACATCTCACTCTCGTCCTCTGCCAAATATAGTAACCTACTGTCACCCCCGGCCCCTCCATCTAGAACGACTCCCTGCTTTCCCTTTTACCACTTCTCTAGAAAGCCCTCCGCGTTACCACGAGGCGTCCTTCCTCAGTACATCCTACGCTACGCCCTCTCCTACGCCTCGAGTCCTGCGCCTAGTGAACATGCGCCTGACAGCTTAGGACCAAATGTAAAAAAATAAAAAAAATAAAAATAAAAATACCTACCCTAGGGACCCCTGATGCTATTGTTTCTTTCGGGTGTTCTATTATTATTCCTGTATACGCACGGACCAGTTGTATATTATGTATATTTGTAAATCTCTAGATACCATTCTTACTTTCTCTCCTTAATTTAGAATATGTCAGGCGCAGGTTCACTAGGCGCAAGACTTGAGGCGTAGGAGTGGGCGTAACTACAATGTACTTAGGAAGGACGCCTCTTGGGAATGCGGATGGCTTTCTAGAGAAGTGGTAAATGAGAAAGCGGAGAGTCGTTATAGATAAAGGGGCCGGAGGTAACAGTAGGTCACTATGGTTGGCAGAGGACGAGAGTGAGATGTGATTAGAATAATGTAACTATTCCTAAAGACAGAAAACAAAGCGTAAAGATCTCAGTATCGGAAATGAAAACTACATAACTATCCTCGCTAGGCAATAAGCCTAGTGGTGGAGGGCAAGACTGAACACCTGTACGCGGTGTCCTCTACAAATCTAGGAGTGAAATATTCTCCCAGAGCCAAGTTCAGTCAAACTTCGCAATACAGAACAAGTTGGCCCACGAGGCAATGATTCAAAATACTCCACCATATCAATCTTTCACTTCCAACGAAATCGATTCCTACCTAAGCTTCATCAAGTTTACAAGTACGACCTAGTACATCCTCATTCCAATGACCACACCTCTCGTCGACTTTCTCTGGCCTCAGCTGGTCGCCAGATACACGCCCACGCCGATATTTATACCCGACGGAAGATGCAAAGCGTGGAGCACAAATCTGGAAGACAATTCCTTGGGATGGATGTGAGAGGGATCAGGACAAGTTGATAAGATGATGCAGAGGATGGATACAGTCTCGACGGGCGTGGAATTTTGAACTTTGGATAAGAGTTTTTACAAATTGAGCTTTGTGTGTGCCAAGTCTTCGGCTGCAAGAGTGCAGGCGACACTATAAACACCGCCATGGTAGGATGGTGCGGTGGTATATTGTCTTGGCCGGTCTGCCAAGTAGAGTCTGGATAGCTTGGACACATATCCCACTCGAGACAGTAGATCGCTGGTTCAAATCCTGCAAAACACAACCTCATTTCTCGCGGCGCTAGTATGTATGGATGACGAAGGCATGCTTGGATAACCAAAGGTTTTGAAATTTCCTTTGGTGGGTACTTACGGAGGAGGGTCGACTGTTTGTGTAAGCGAACATACCTCAAAGTGGTATTTGCAAATGAAATCCAGAGTATGAGTGTCTCTAACATTGTTATATTTACAAGGCTATATAGGAGCAGGACGATGGATACTCTTGGGGAAGTTATGCTCACAGTAGGTCTCTATAGTCGCTATCGCGTGTGTTCTCGTGATATGTAAGACTTGACTCTATATTCTCGTATAAAGGAAACTTAGTTACTATGAATGGATGGAGGTTGAGACCTCCTTATATCTTGCTCCAGACTTACTGTGTTTTTCACAGCCTAATGCTAGAACATTCCCTTATGATATCATTCCTCTCCTACGAGAAATGACCAGCTCGTTCTCTCTCAGTCTATCAGTCTCCCGCTGATTCCATTATCTCTATTCCATTGAGTTCTAGTTTGGTCCTGTATACCCACACATGCATTACACACTAAACACCCCACGGCTTAGTTCCACAGTCACGTGCATATACTATGAAGCGATCTAAAGCATGTACCATGGTAAGTTACATGGATAACACAACAAACATCAAAAGAGTCATCCCACATGTATACATAGCACCGGTCATGTGTTATAGCTATATAGCTGAATACACATTAAATGACTCAAAAAAAAAGCCTAGTGGTGCTAAACAAGGAACCCAAAAATCCTGCCTGAGGCATTTCTCCAGAATCCTTACAGAATATTTTAGAATTACATTCCTGATTTGAGTCGTTATCTGATTCGACGTGGTCATCTAGTAGCCTGTGCTCTCTTCTAGTCGTCACACCATGACACTGCAGCAGAAAATGAATGAAATGATAACAAAGGACCTAGTCTCATCCTGCCACTTACCATCGCAAGAGTTCGATTCCGAGACCGACATCATGAAGGATCTAGATCATCTTGACTATGATTTTTGTTTATTTTTTTATTCTTTAATTATACTGGACATTGATGTCAAAACTATCTGTAGGCCAGGGATATGTATGTCTCGGGTTGTACATAGCTACTTTCTTCATGGCTTCCATCCTAAACTGCCGCTTCCCGCAGGCCTTCATTCGATCATACTCATGGTGGATCCTTTCTCCCTTCGTCATTTACCCCTCCAGCCAGCCAAAAATTGGCAATTTCAGAAGTTACAGCAGTAGAGAAACCTCGCAAATCCTTCCAGATGCGTAGCACTCTTGATACTGACATGAAGACTAGGTCCAAAGACACAGACACTCTTCCGAAGCATTCATAGATGCCGGCGGGCGAGGTATTGTAGACCTGTGTATACATCAAGAAGTAATTCCCTGTCTTGATAGTCTACTACCTAGCTCTTCCGTAACTAGTGCATCAAGATGAATCGGAGGTCTTACTGAATGAGAAAAAGGCTTGACAAGGATATGTGCCGCAAAATAACCCTGGCTAACTCCTCTGTGCCGTCTTGGGTAGTTGAAAATAACATAGATATATACACAATAAAAGCTCACTTGGCTAGATTGGGGCTGGTCTTTAGCTCTAAGGATTTGATGTAGAGGGCCGGAGGTTTGTAGGGGTCGGCACTGAATGGTGTTGATCCTCCATTATTATGATATGAGGTTACCTAGAGTACTAATACTGACTCTGACACTTGTTTGTATACCGAGAATTCTGTCTATTATTTACATATGTAAATAATAGGTAGTAAAATACTTGAATAAAACTACTCTCTACAATATGGATATGGAAGAATAACATGTAAGAAAAGGAAGGATGTACTTTTACTACATGTGTAATAGACGACATCAAATTAGAACCCATGACCCTTGCCAATCCTTAGCACACTCTTCTCCACCAATCGGGGTTAAGCTACTCCTAAATCATAACATCCGTCCCCATGCAACGTCTGGCATTTTACTAGGTTAGTATATACCCACTCGAGTCTAATCACCTGTAATACTACAGAGACGCAGCTATCTGATACACCCCATGGATGAACAGTGTCAAATTCCTTCAGGAGAGATGCCTCCCGCCCCAACAACGGATTTCTTCACGCACCATTATTCTGACGTTCGAAGAATTAAGTAGCCTACAAAATCAAATCATAGTTTGATAGCTGGTGTTAAAAGATGCCCTTTCCGCTAGTATTCCCACTCTTGACCCTCAGACTATAGAAACATTGACAGACATTGTCTGCCAACTAAATCGAAATTAATATTTTAAAATCCCCTCCAGATTACATAAATCCAAAAAGCAGGGTTGATTTACTCGAGAGACTCTCTAGAGAAACCTGAGTGGAGCCACTGGCAGGCAATAATTAATTAATTGATTGTATTAATTAATTCTTGGTTTCCTGACTCTCAGGCTGTCACGGACTCCGGTCAGTGGATTGGAACAGTGGGAAATAAAATACATCTTACCTCATCAGCCGGCTCTAAATACCATACCACTCTTGATTGAATTGAAGTACAAGAATGATATTCTGTTTACAGGCTGTATAGAAGACGATATCCAGTTGCGTGAGTGAGGGTGAACTTCTTACTAAAGAAGAGTCCAGAAATATGCTTCCACAATTACTAATGGTTCTCTCAACATTTGCCTGTATCAATGATGATTATAGCTCGTCTTGAGATGAGCAAGCCCTCTGAGCGGAGAGCACTGGGGTCCGTATCGAGAGAAGCAATGGGGACTGTAAATTAATGATATCAAACAAACATGTCATTATCATGAAACATTGCAGCATCCACAATATGACATCAAACATCCTACTTTGCTCCTTTAAAGTCAAAAACACCAAGGATGGATATTCTGCAATAATCTCTACAGGTTGACGGCATTGCCAAGAAAAGAGGGTTTCGGGGAGCTAGGCTAAAGGGTGGTGATGGACAGTCGAGGAAATATCCACATCTAGACGGAGTACTATTGGAAAACTCTGACTGATGGAGACGAGCAAAGGGGATTAGTATGAGCTGGGTGAGTATCTATATAAGCTTGTGCTTATCCAGTTGATAGTAACCGCCAAACCTCGTACTATTCCACCATCTGACGTCATCTACTTGATACAAATTATACAGCAGATATCACTTTCTCTTACCATGCGTCTTTCTACTATTGGTCTAACTCTTCAAAGCGTCAGCCTTCCTATTGCAGTGCTAGCTAGCTTCAAAACGCCACATGTAGCCGAGGAGAATAAAATGTTTGATTGTATTTATAATAACTTTGATTCCACCACCATAATTGATGTGATAAATAATATCAACTATTACGGGGGTATAAATAGACTTCAACAAATCCAAAGTCATGAACTTGATGCGTTGTATACTGGTGTGTGGGGAAGAACCAAAATGATGTATCATGATGATGGATCGACTGTCAAGCATTATCTTTGTGAAATGGATGTTAAACAGGACAGTAAGTGTTTTAAATCTTTCAATCTAGACCATAAAATGCTAAAACTTATTTACAGACCTCAACAAATATAAGTACACCCTTGTTGTTGACAATAAGGCCCGAGCGTGTGCTGTTCTGGAACACATAATACGCTTTGACTCAGAAATAGGAGATTACGAAGACTCGTACTTAGGAAACACAATAGCGGGTAGTAAGCTTTGCGCAATTAGATAGAGAGATTTATTGCTACAACACTATGTATGTTGAATGAGAATTTGAGTTCTTTATTTGTCAATAATCTGGCACAGAGAGAAACTGGATGTTACAGCATGAGTTTACAAGTGATATTTTTATGGTATCACGTGATGTGGAGTCTGGTTGAGCAAGCGTCGGTCCCGGAAGCGAGCTGGTGGAGATTTCAGCCCGGCGAGGCTACATACTGAATTATTTATTTATTACTATTTGACGTCATGCTAGCTCACAAAACAACCATAAGGTCTCGTGCTGGCCAGCTCAGTCTACATAAACTACCCGACGTGCCAATACCTTTAAATAAGCCCGACATGTTATAAATGGGCCAAGGCCTACCTGCCATGCACCCCGAATTATCAAAAGAAGTCAAAAGTACTCTCCAGCTGAGACTTTTATCTTCTAATACAGTAGAGAAAATAGTTATAAATATGAAAAGGAAGGTTATATATCACCTAGACCATAAGTCTTTAAATCTGAGCTCTAGCAAATACAGGCCAAATTTTTATAATTTGGAGTACTAGTTAGTCTTGTTGCTGCATGCTTCAAAAAAGCATGTTTCATGAAGCCATTTACAAAAAGCTATGGCTCCTTCAGGAGAGCCTAGAATCCAGCAAATTTCCGTCGTTGGGTGTTTATTTCCGCTGCAAAGGCGGGACCGACTCCAATTGAGTCGACAAAAGAGGAAGTGCTCGGGAGACGTTTCTAGCCCGCAAGCGCAGATAAGAAGAGCGTCCGAGTGCTGAAAGCGGCGGTGGTAGTCAGCAAAGTCGCCATGACTTGAGCGAGCTGCAAGAAGGTAACAAAGAGTGTAGCGGTTAATGCTCTTGAGTTCGGGGGAGCTGCAAATATTGGCGTTGTTGTGATCTAACGCTGTTCAAATCTGCGGACTTCGTGGTGAGCAGTTATACTACCTCACGTGATAGAACATGGGAGTGAAGTAAAAGAGTGGTCAACCCACTAGCCAGATCTAAGCGATTACTGGCACACATAGAACTGTAACATATTCTTTGTAGATAGTACAATAACATAATTATCATCAGTGATTAAATTAATCCCCACACAATTGAGACCCATTGAAGTGCCAACTTTCATACCACCCTCAACTGTATTGTCGCAATCGCATCCATAACAAGCCACCATTGCAACTCAGAGCATACTCTCAAACTGTGATCAACTACACCACCAGGTTTAGCATAAATCCCAATAGGTTATAGCCCGGAAGCTCAAGTCAACATTTATCCTCTATTGTATTTACCCTTCCATCTAAAATTCAGTTCTCTAACAAAATGTCTACCTCGTCCGATGATGTCAAACCCAAGTCGAACCCAGCTGCATCAACAATCCAAGCCAGCCTTAAACGGATGCCTATTCTCACCGGAAGCGAAAACTACCGCAGATGGGCAGGAGCTTGGGAAATTGTGTTGGAAGACAGCGAATTATTCGGACTCATAACGGGGGAGATCACAGAACCGGAGACTAAAGATTCAGATGGATGGAGACAATGGAAGCGACAAAATGTTAAACTGCGCAAAATACTCTTGAATGCTGTAGATGAAGATCTACAAACAGTGGTGATTGACAGCCACACAGCTCACGAAGCATGGAACCTGTTCAAGGCTCGTTATGATCGCGACACGACAAACACAACGATATCACTTTTAAAATACTTTATCAATCTCTCTTTAAACGATGGGGAAAGCATCCCTGATCACCTTTCGAAATTTACATCCTCCTGGAATCGCCTAAAACAACGCTCGCAAACAACGAAGTCGTCTTTAGGCCGAACCCTCCGAACGCTCACCTCCGATGATGAAATAAAAGGTGCATTTCTTTTATGTTCATTGCCAAAAACCATGGATAATCTCGTCGATAATCTTGCCACCAAAGAGCTCACAAGCTTTGAAGACGTCCAATCTAGGCTCTTAGATCTCACAGGCAGTACAACTAATTATTCAATAGATAATACAGCCTATAAATCTACAGAGAAAGACGAAAAAGAATGTTCTTGGTGCAAATCCAAAAAGATGAAATACCAGGGTCACCTATACACCAGCTGCCAAAAGTTGAAAAAACACCAGGAAAAGAAAAACCAGCGAAGAATACCAAAACCAACCGAAATTGCGGGTGCTGCAGCTCATGAAAGTGAATTCTCAGACCATGCACTTATTTCTAATTCTTCGACTGTCACTTCAACAAAGTGGATCTTTGATACTGGTGCTTCAACACACATGACTGGATGTGAAAGCGATTTTGAAAGTCTCACTCAAGTTCAAGGTCAAAGTGTCAAAATCGCCAACAACACATACGTCCCCATAACTGGGAAAGGCACGGTAAGGTTAAACCTTTTGACAAGTACGGGAGAAGTTTTAAATACTGTCCTCCACGATGTCATGCTGGTACCATCATTTCAAACGACGAGACTTTATTCATGGGATAAAGCAAGGGAGCAAGGATACAAACTGAGAGGAGAAAAAGATAATATTTTTTTAATTGATTCTTTTGGGCATGAAGTATTGTGGGCTAAGTCGGGAAACAAAGCATATTATATACAGACGAAGAAATATAATGCAAATTTTGCCACTTATCTTAATCTCCATGAAGCGCTGGGGCATCCAAGCACTACGGCCATTAAAAACTCTTCTGAACTGTACAAAAATTGCAACAACCTTCCCTTACCGCCTGCAAACTTCTACTGTCCAACATGTGAGAAAGCTAAATCTAAACACATTGTACCAAAATCAACCCATGAAATCCCAGCCAGTAAATTTGATATTATCTACTCAGATCTATCCGGAAAATTCTCTGTACCATCACTTGGCCAAAGCCTATACTATATTACCTTTATTGATGGAAAAACACGATACTCCTGGGTCAAGTTCCTACGAAGAAAAAATGATACCGCACAAACAATGCTCGATTTTATTCGCTTTGTTAAAACACAATTCGGTACCAGTATCAAACGTTGGAGAACTGATCGTGGAGGAGAATTCGTCAATCAAGCCGTCAACTCTCTTTTTAATTATGAAGGTATAGTACATGAAATGTCGCCAGCCTATGAGCATGAGAGAAATGGATTAGCTGAACGTTACAATCAAACATTAACCACTATGGCTAGAGCAATGTTAATTGGATTTAACACCACGCTGTGGGCAGAAGCAATCTCAGCCGCCTGCTACCTCAAAAATCGCCTTCCTCATTCACGGCTACCTCCCAACACTACGCCATATGAGGCCTTACTTGGCACTAAACCCACAATACACCATCTCCAATCTTTTGGCAAAAACTGCTTTGTTCATATTCACAAGGACTCGCGACCCGCAGGAACAAAGCTACTACCAAGAGCTATGGAAGGCAAATTTGTGGGATACACGGAAAGCACAAAAATATTTCGGATATGGATCCCTTCAAAAAATAAAGTAATCGAATCTCCCAACGTCAAATTTGCGCCGCTCGATTCAGGGGAAGCAAATATAAGAAACGCCCTTGATACTCGAAGCAACAATTTTCAGACAATAGTGGCAGAAACAGAAATATCCCCGGAGGAAATAATATCTTGCGAAAACCAACCAGAAGCTTCAGACACAGCATCCAACCTCGAAAATCCCTCAAGATCATTACAATCCAATCTGCTGCAAATACATGATCATCATGGACAATCACTATTACAAACGCACACAAAAGCACAACCCCAAACCTCCGAAATTAGCGAAAACCAAGTATCAGTACATAGTCGACCCAAAAGGTCATCAAAGCCTATTCAAAGATACGGTTCACCTATATTTCATGGCCCTGAGCTACGCTCGAGGGAACAACATGACTTGGAGCATGGACAGCTAGTGCATGTAGAAAATGTTCAGGATGAAATTGAATATAATGCTGTAGCTCTTGCAGCACAAACTGCACCGGAAACAAATGAGGAACCAACAACAATCGAGGAGGCACTCGAAAGGTCTGATGCAAACCACTGGCGTGAAGCGATCGATCAGGAAATTAACTCCTTAGAACAAAAGCACACCTGGGATGAAACTGCCCGGCCGTCACAGCGCAATGTTGTTGGATCTAAATGGGTATTTAAAATAAAGCGACATGCTGATGGTTCAATTGACAGGTACAAAGCACGTCTAGTAGCTCAAGGATTCAGTCAAATTCCTGGTTATGATTTTGATGAAACCTTTGCCCCTGTTGCTCGATACGAAAGCCTTCGCATGTTAATTCGCATCGCTGCCCAAAATAAATGGATACCACAACAAATGGACGTAAACTCGGCCTACTTATACGGTTCTTTAAAGGAAGAAATATTCATGGAACTTCCACCGGGATACCGAAAATCTGGAAAATGTGCTGCACTCCGTAAATGTATCTACGGTCTAAAACAATCAGGCCGTGAATGGTACGCCTGCATATCGACATCACTTCAACAAAAAGGATTCGAAATAGCAGATTTCGACCCATGCGTCTTCGTTCATCCAACAGAAAACGCCTTTGTAGCGATATACGTTGACGACATACTAATCTTTTGTTCAGATAATAAATTTAGCCAAAACCTCAAGTCATGTATCGGAAAAGATTTTGATTGCAAGGACTTAGGAAATGCTCATTATATCCTTGGACTACAGATTAAACTAGAAAAAACAGGTATCCGACTCTCTCAACAAGGTTACTCAAAGAAGATTCTAGAACGCTTTGGCCTTACACTTGCTCACAAAGTAAGTACTCCTCTCGATCCAAACGTCACCCTTTTCAAAGGCACTGAAGAGGAACGTCTCGGAAATATAAAAGAATATCAAGCCATAGTTGGATCCCTTATGTATCTTGTCATAGGGAGTCGCCCTGATCTAGCCTACACTGTCACACTCTTAAGCCAGTTTTCATCTTGCCCAAACGAAAGTCATTTGCGAGCCGCCAAACGAACTCTTCGATATCTAGCTGGAACAACCGATTGGGATTTGTTTTACCCGCATGGAACCAGCAGGGTACTCGAG